GTCGGTCGGTAAGGGGCCGAAGGCCAACCAATGGTCGGCCCGGCTGGAAGTGCCCAACAGTTTACGTGGCATTCCCGCCCAGCAGTTGGATCAGCATGTTCAAGAAGCAAAAGGGATTGCTCTGAGGGCCAGGAGACATGCGATTTCAGTTTCGCTCTCAGAGCTTAAGGTCTGGATTGAGAACAATGAGTACACAGGAGCGATCTTTCGGGCCACGAAGGAGACGCCGTCGGGAGAGCAGGAGTTCGACGTGGTCTCGGACGCCATCTTCCACCCGTAGGACGTGGTGGGCCACGAGGCCGAGCATTGGCATGCCTCGTGGACATCCATATCCCCTCAGACGACCAGCAAAGTTGAGGGACTCTTCGACGAGATTCGATGGCCATCGATGTCGGAACCTCTCCCGCCCCTGTCTGTGGAAGACATTCGAGCTGCACTCAGAAGGATGACGCCCCGAGCTGGACAGGGAGTCGATCGGCTATCTCCGATCGGCGCCGAGCGACTTCCAGATCAGGCTTTTATCAGAGTTAGCAATTCTTTACACAATGTTCGAGCAATGCCGAACCTGGCCGCGGCAGTTAATGCCCGTGCTAGGATGCCTATTGCCCAGGAAGGGTTCAAGCGACAGGGTGATTGGTTTCATCTGCGTGCTGTGCGGTATCTGGTCGTCGTCGCGCGAACCTCTTATTCGTGATTGGGCCTTGTCGTCGCAGCCAGACTGGGGGGCCGCCGTCGCTGGCAACTCAGCTCTTCGCGAAGCGTGCATGCGGTCGCTGGACGAGGAGTTGTTCGCCAAACTCAAGGTCTCGCACGGGCATGCACTTCTAGATGCTCAATCGGTTTACGATGAAATGGAATGGGCGGTTTTGGTACCAGCAGCTCTTACGCATGGGTTTCCGCCAGTGATGCTGGGGCTCGAACTGCAAACCTGCGCTGGTCCTCGCCTTCTGGACCATAGCGACGCGGTGCCCTGTCCATGTCAGGGCGCCCGTAGCATCATCCAGGACATCAGGATCGGGGCCAGGTTCGCCAAGGTCGTTGCGAACATGGTAATGTCACGCCTCAATGTATGTCATCCTCGGCTAGCCGAACGGCCCTGGATATACGATTTGTCACAAACAGCAGTGGGCTCCAAATCTTCGGTTTGTGAGTCTTTTGTGGAAGGGATCTCTACCGCGCGCGAGCTGGTGTCCGAGTACTCCCTTCAGCTCGCGATGAAGAGCGCCATCGCAGGTTCAGACGTGCGCGACGCCCGTGTCATTCAGAAACGGCTTCGCCGACAAGGTGTTCATATATAGGCAGTTCCCCAGACTTCTGATCTTGGAATTGACCTCTCGAGCGGGAAGCGACTTGGACGAGCCGCTCGGAGGAAGCGTTTTGCCGACTCTTTGGAGCAGCGTCATAAAGTTCGACGATTTGCCTTCGCCAACAAGCGCTTCAAGGTACTTCGGAAAGTTGACTTGGCAGGGCCTCAAGCTGGAGCGCGATGTGGACATCAAGTTCACGGCCTCCCTGCCGCCTCGCCACCGCTCGCTCATCGTCGACGTCTGGGTGCAGTTGCTGTGGGGCATCGACGTGGGCGACGTCTCGCGACGTTATTGGACATCCGAGCCCCGGGTGCTGATCTTGGGTGCGCGTTGCCTCGCCAATGTCTGCTGGGGTGGCTACGGGCATGGTTAGGAGTTCCTCGATTTCGTGGTCGTATCTCCATGGTCTGGGCAGCTATTGTTGCAGAAGTTCTGGGCCAGGCGCGCTCGTGGGCCACTCGCTGCAGTGATTCGCTATTTACTAGATGCTGATTGCGACATCCCCGGGCCCGGGCTTTGCATCAACCGGCGAACAAGGGCGGTCATCAAGCAGGTTGGAAGTTCGACGGGCCAGAATTTCAAGCAGTTGATCAAGCTGAAGAATTGCTGGATTTGCCAGATCTATCCAGCACAAGCAATGGCAACAATAAGCGTTTTTTTTTTTTTTTTTTTTTTTTTTTTTTTTTTTTTTTTTTTTTTTTTTTTTTTTTTTTTTTTTTTTTTTTTTTTTTTTTTTTTTTTCTTCCTCTCCCCTCTCTCTCCCCCCCTCGGAGGCGGGGTGGAAGACGGCGTTGGTAATTTCAGCCTGCGCAAACAGTTGTATCAATTAGACCAGATACCCCGAGTGGGAAGACGGCTACCTGCCTGACCCACTCTTCGCAATCGCGATAGGGGGGCGTGGCCAGCGTCACGGAAGCAAGAAACAGGATATGCGATCCCAGCGGACTGCTCTCGTTGTGGCGCAGGGCCTGAGACGCCTCAACATCGCATCTGGCGTTGTAAGTGCAATCGAGGGTCGCCAGCATATGATTTATCCCAATGACTTTGCCACGCAGCGCCGGTTCAAGAAGATAGCATGGAGTGTTTTTGATATCGAGGTCTGATTCCGTCAGACCTCACAGCAGTCGATCCTCCCGCGCAGGGGGAGAGTTGGGCGGCAAGTTACAATGACGAACTGGATCAGCTCTTTTTCGGCGGAAGCACAGAAACATCGCCAGTAATCGTCCACGGTGATGCTTCAGGCGGTGCAGACGCACATGATCCGCGACTTCGTCGGGTTGGGTTAGCCGTGTCTGCCGTCGGAGAAATGCCTGGACCACATTCGAGATTCTTGATGTGCCCGCTGCCAGGTGTAAGGCAGACTATACCTCGTGGTGAATTGTTGGCGTTGCTAGTTGGGCTGCGGTATTCTTCTGGCAGTGCAGTGTTCGTCACGGACAACGAGGAGGTATGCAGAGGGTGGCGGGCCCACCTATTTTCAGCCCCGGGGCGAACGCAGATCTATGGAGAGAGATTGGACAGACCCTGACAAATCAAGGCCGGCATTATTCCGCCATCGTCGTGGTCAAGGTGCCGTCGCATGTCACGGGGGAGGAAGTGGTTGAACGTAACCTGTCTGGCCTGCTCATTGCGGGGAACGTCTTCGTGGACCATTTGGCAGGAGAAGCTGCGACTGCAGCGCGCGTGCCTCAAGCTCAACGCACTCGACTGATGAAAGTGGATCAAAAGGCCGGACTCATTCGACAAAGGAATTTGAGGGCTACCTTGGAGGCCGCGGTGAGCGAAGAAAAAAAAAATAACGTCCTCGTGGTGCTCGTGCTGCTGCTCGGGTCGCTCCTCCTGCTCGTGCCAGGGTGGCCTTCTTTTGCACCAGCCACCGTCTCGAGGATTGTGATCAGCGCTGTTCTGTCTGCCAGGGTTCCACGTCTGTGGCGGTGACAACAGAGTTTTTAGAATTACCCTGTTTTTTCAGTTAGAACTTCAAACATCAGGGTTTGATCGGGGGGCTCGTTTACATCTCGCGGGGGGCTGGGTTCACTCGTCTCACCAAATGATGTATAACAGAAGCCCGTCCTTGTGGTATTGAGCAGCCTGTGGGTGTTATCATCAGCAGCGGCTCCGAGGTTTGGCTGCTGAAAGCACGGCACCCACGACGGTACTCACCTAGTCACGTCGAGCATATTTCGACAGAATCTCGAGAAGTCTCACGCCGAATCACCTCAGTAAAGCTGAGATGGCGGCCAGATCCTCCTAAGGTGTTTTGAACTCTCTTCGCGACTGGTCTTATCTTACCTCCTTCTCCTCCTCCTCCTCCTCCTCCTCCTGCTCCCCCCCTCCCTTCTTTTCAGCCTCCTGGGGTTCGTCTGCCTCGTGCGCGGCGCTGTCCGATTGCGCGCGTGTTTTTCGTGGCCGCGGCGCCCCCTGCCCGCGCTGCCCTGTCTTGCGCGCGCCCGATCCCCAGCCGCGGCGCGCCCCGTCCCGCCGCGATCGTTCCCCCGAGCGCACCTTCCCAGCGCGCACCCTCCCCCGGCGCGCCCCCAGGCGTGATCGCGTCGTAAAAAGTTTTGGTAGACGTTTTTTCGCCGCTTCTGGCCTCTAAAGGCCCCGCGGGGCCCGGGGGCCCTCCAGAAACGGCCCAGCATGGAAATTTGGCCCCGGGGAAAAGGCTAGGATTTCCAGGGGCCGCGCGTTGAACACATCCAGACGTCGCATGTTTGGGTCTCCCATCCCCCCATCCCTCTCAGCGCGTTTCCCCTTCCCCGCTTCTGTCTCCCCAGCGCGCCGCCCCAGTTGTAGAGCTCGGCCCCCCTTGGAACGCAGTGGAAACCCATGCCAAGAAACGCCCTGCTTGCCTCCAGGGGTCCCTGGATTTCTTGGGTTTCGATGGTTTTGTGATGGGAGCCGTGACGTTCCCACGCCAACAATCAATGGGCGTCCTGGGTTTCCAGGGTTGGGTTTCTTGTGGATGATTTCTTGCGGTCGAGCTCCTATTGTGCGGGATTCAGTGAGGACCATCTCTCTTCGCATGAAGGAAGGTCTTCCTGTCAGAAGGGGGACCTGCAGGGGATCCAGCACAGGGGGGCCCTTGGCATACCCCCCGCCCTCTATCTAGGGATTGCCTGCCAGACATGCGACGTCCTGATTTTCTCAATGCGCGGCCCCCTGGAAGTCCCGACCCCTTCCCCAGGACTGGTTTTTCATCCTGGGCCGATCCTCGACGGTCCCGGGGCCTGGCGAGGATCATTGGAAGCCGAAAAAATGCTGACGAAATTCCGCCCTGAAGTTTTTACGGCGCGATCGTGTCTGGGCTCCCTCCAGCGAGTGTCCTCGACCCCGCGCGTGGAGGGGGACGCGAGGGGGAGGGAAGGGGGAAACGGGGACGGGGAGGAGGACGAACAGGGCACGAGCAGGCGCGAGGAGGAGGAAGAGCGGGGGGGAGGAAGAGGAGGAGGAAAAGGAGGAGGAGGAGGAGGAGGAGGAGGAGGAGGAGGAGGAGGAGGGGGAGGAGGGAGGAGGGAGGAGGAGGAGGAGGGGAGGAGGAGGAGGAGGAGGAGGAGGGAGGAGGAGGGGGAGGGGGAGGAGGAGGAGGAGGAGGTGGCCCGCCCGCGCTGCCCCTGTCGGCGCCGTCCCGTCGGACGCCGGGCGCGCGCGCGCGCCCTGCGCCTCTTGGCGCCCGGGCGTCTCGGCCGCCAGGGCTTCGAGACGCTGGTCGTGGAGCTGGTGCGGGCGCTGGGCTGCGGCGGCGAGGGGGTCCTCATCTTCCTGCCTGGGAGGGGCCGGCGGTGGGCGTGCCCTCCTCCTGTCCTCAGCCGCCTCCTCCTCCTCCTCCTCCTCCTCCTTTTCCTCCTCCTCCTCCTCCTTCTCCTTCTCCTTCTCCTTCTCCTCCTTATCCTCTCCTCCTCATTCTCCTCCGTCTCCTCCTTCTCCTTCCTCATCTCCTCCTCCTTATCCTCTTCTCTTATCCAATCTGAATTAGTCCTTCCCTGTTCGTCTCTTCTTGTCTCGTTTCTTATCGTATATTCACTTAACGTCTCATTTCTCCTTTCATATTCTCTTATAGTAACTTGGAGTATCATGTCTTATCTTCTCTCATAGTTTCTTCTCTTATCGTCGATTGTCGTACACTATAGTATCCTCTCGTCCCTATCTTCTCTTCTTTTATATTTGAGTAATTATATCATCATGTCGTCTCGTCTGATCTTATCTTCTCTTAGCTTCTCTTGTCGTCTCCTCTCTTATTTTCTCTTCTCTTCTCTTCTCTGCTCTTCTCTTCTCTTCTCTTCTCTTTTGGTCCACTGTCTTAGCTTCGCTTCTTATTCATTTCCTTATCGTCTTGTCTCTTCTCTTCTCTCTGTTATTATTTTTGTTTATATTATCTTCTCTTATCTTCTCTTCTCTTCTCTTCTCTTCTCTTCTCTTCTCTTCTCTTCTCTTCTCTTCTCTTCTCTTCTCTTCTCTTCTCTTCTCTTCTCTTCTCTTCTCGTCTCTTCTCGTCTCGTCTAGTCTAGTCTCTCCTCTTCTCTTCTCTGCTTGTCTCGCCTCGTCTCGCCTCGTCTCGTCTCGTCTTGCCTCGTCTCGTCTCGTCTCGTATCGTCTTGTATTGTGAGGCATATATCGTATCGTGTCTTTCTCTTCTCTTCTCTTATCTTCTCTTCCCTTCCCTTCTCTTATGTAATATCATGTAATAGTGTATTATCTTATATTCTCTTATCCGTAAGGGCTTCGCCCCCTGCCGCCGGCCCCCTCTCTCGGAGAATGGGCCATGGAAGAGCTAAGTCATGAGGCCTTGGCGCTGTTGTGAAGCAGTATCGAAACTTCATGCGAAGCCGAACGCAATCAGCAAAACCAACTGATCACAAGAGGGGTTACCACACCTGGCGATTGGTAAGACGTGTATGGTGTACGGGCTTGGTTGCCACACCTTGCGATTAAAGGGCCGAGGGAGTTCTCGCAGTTTGGGTTACCACGCCTTGCGATGGATGTGCGTGAAGGGTGGCACCGAATTTCAGAAATGTGCCAAATCCCTTGTGTTTTTGGACCCTGACCCCGCGGATCTGCGTAAGGGGTGGCGCCGAATTCAGAAAGTGGCAAATCCCTTGTGTTTTTGGACCCTGACCCCGCGGATCTGCGTGAGGGGTGGCACCGAATTTCAGAAATGTGGCAAATCCCCTGTGTTTTTGGACCCTGACCCCGCGGATCTGCGTGAGGGGTGGCACCGAATTTCAGAAATGTGGCAAATCCCTGTGTTTTTGGACCCTGACCCCGCGGATCTGCGTGAGGGGTGGCACCGAATTTCAGAAATGTGGCAAATCCCCTGTGTTTTTGGACCCTGACCCCGCGGATCTGCGTGAGGGGTGGCACCGAATTTCAGAAATGTGGCAAATCCCCTGTGTTTTTGGACCCTGACCCCGCGGATCTGCGTGAGGGGTGTCGATTTCGAGCCCCCCCAGCAATTCAGACAACGCGCCCAGGAGGTGCTAAAAATCCCGTTTGGGCCTCCCCCCCCCTCGCGCGGTCAATCAACTAGTTACAGTAACCAGCAAGAAGTCAACTAGTTACAGTAACCAGCAAGAAGCAGAACTGTAACACTGGAAACTACAAACTACAACTGGTACAGGAAACTGCGAATCACGCGCCTCGCAGCCTGGTGGCCCCACAAGGGGGCCGGCGGATATTATCTTACCAGTTTATGGTATAGCATATTGGCATGGCTTCATGGTTAGGGTTTAGGGCTTGCGGTTAGGGTTATGTGCTAAGGGTTTATGAGGCTTCGGGTTTAGGGTTAGGGTTAGGGGCTTAGGGTTAGGTGTCGGGGCTAAGCGTTCAGTTAGGGCCGTTGGGTTAGGCTGAGGGGCTAGGGTTAGGCTTCGGGGGTGGGGTTTGGTGTTAGGGTTAGGAGTAGGATTAGGATTAGGGGCGCATGGTTTAGGTTTAAGGGCTTAGGGTAATGGAGGGGGGCTAGGGTTAGGGGCTTAGGGTTAGGGATCGGGGCTTAGGGTTTAAGTTTACGGGCTTAGGGCTAGGGAGGGGGGCTAGGGTTAGGAGTAGGGTCAGGGGCTTAGGGTTAGGGGGTCGGGGCTTGAGGTTTAGGGCTAGGGGTTTAGTGTTAGGGTGGGAGGCTATGGTTAAGGTTAAGGCTTAGGGTTTGGGGTTAGGGGCTTGGGGATTAGGATTCAGGGGCTTAGGGTTTAGGGTTAGGGTCTAAGGGATTAGGGTTAGGTGTCGGGGCGTAGGGTTTAGGGTTAGGGCTCGGAAAAAGAAAGGTTAGGGTGGGGGGGAGGGGGGGCAGGAGCAAGGGGCATTGCAAAGGAGCGCCCCGGCTAAAGCAGTCACCCGGTGACTGTTTTGGGCTGGGCTCGGAAAAAGAGGGGTAGTAAGGCAGGAGGGGGGACCAGGAGCAAGGGGGAGCGCCCAGGCTAAAACAGTCACCCGAGGCTCTTGGTGACTGTTGTTGGCCGTGCTCGGAACATAAGAGTTGAGGGAGGAGGTGGACGGCGAGGGGGAGGAGGGGGGGAGGAGCGGAGAAGGATGAGGCGGGATAGGGGGTTGGAAACACTGCGCTCCCTGGCTCGATGTCGATTTATGGTTTTTGGCGAGAAACATTCGGGGAGGGAAGGCCACCTCTGAAGTTTTGAGGGACCGTAGCCGTTGGAGCGCGTTGACCGCGCTACTCATGAGTCCACTGTTTCATTGTCTCGCGAGTGCAACGCTCCTGCCACGGGCCAAGGTCTGAGCTTCCTTCCGCCACGCGGGCCCATCGTCCGAGAGGCTGCTTGCGCATTCCGCCGACGACTCTGGAGGATCAACTCGGCCAGGCCGAACTCGGCCAGCTTAACTGGGCCAGGCTCAACTCGCCCGGACGGACTCGGCCTCGGCTCAACTCGGCCGGCTCAATCTGGATCAACTCGCCACGGGCTCAATTCGGCCAGCGCTGAACTCGGCCGGGGGCTCAAGTCGGCCCGGCGCAACTCGGACGGATCAACTCGGCCGGCCTTCTGGCTGCAGAGTGGGACCGCGATCAACTCGGCCGGCTCAACCCGGCCGGCTCAACTCGGACTGGCTCAACTCGGCCAGCGCTCAAGTCGTCCCGAATCCACTCGGCCAGCGCTCAACTCGGCCAGCGCTGAACTCGGCCTCGGCCGAGTTGAGCCTGGCCGAGTTGAGCTGAAAAGGACCTGGCCGAGTTGAGCCTGGCCGAGTTCGGCCGGTGTGGAGGTCCCCGGATGGCCCCAGAGGCCCCCTGGAGGCGTCCCAAGGCCCGAAGAGGGCAAGGGACCAGGCGCCCGCAGAGATGCACGGGAGCTCCCAGAGAGGCGCAAGGCGAAGCCCGAGAAGGCCAGAATCGTCAACATCTGATGTGTTACGACGTTTTTTGCTGGGGTCGGGTTTTCTGGCGCACATGGTTCGAAGAGAGGCGTAGAGGCCTCCAGAACGGACCAAGGTGGCCCACGAGACGGTCACGATGAGCCCAGGAGGGCCCCGAGAGGCCCCCCCCCAACTGGCCTAGTGGGCTGGCTCCCGGAGAGGTCTCCGAGAGGGCCTGGCGGCGCCCCCAGAAACCCAGCACGCGAAAGGAGAGTCGTTTCGGGACAGAGATTGTGGCCTCAAACTCCACCGTATGAGGAGCATTTCAGTGGCATTGTTTCCAACTGCTAGTTCAGTATCGTTTAACCGACCCCCATCCCCATCCTCATCCCCTTCGAGGCCTCCACCAAATTACCCCCCCAGTTGGGGATACGACCTGTATCCCCATCTAGGGGGGTAAATCGGCCACTGGGACCCAGGCCACGCCGCTGGGGATGGGGATCGGTCAAACGATACTCAGAATGCCAGCCTCGTCGGTCCGTCCGTGGCATTTGGATCAAGCCGTTGGCTCAAGCCTTTGGCTCAAACAGTGCAGTGAGCGAGGCATCTGCGAGGGAGCCGGGGCGCGCCATGGCTGCCGGAGCGGCATCGTCCGTGCTCGGCTGGGCCAAGGCGAGGTTCGGCCTGTCCCCCGTGGGCCTGAAGGTGCTGATCGCGGGGCTGGATGCCGCCGGGAAGACGACGCTGCTGTACACGGCGGTCCGCGGAGGGCGGGTGGAGCCGGGCCAGGTCCCGCCAACGGTGGGCTTCAACGTGGAGAGCCTCGCTCCGCTCGGGCCCGGCGGCCCGGAGGTACGCGCCTGGGACGTCGGCGGCGGGGCGCGGATCGGGCGCCTCTACCTGCACTACTCTGCCTTCGTGCGGGGCCTGGTCTTCGTGCTCCGACCGACGGATCCGCGCCTCTGGAGCGCCCTCTGGGAGCTGTACTGCATCGTGCAGCACGCCGTCGCGGAGTCGGCGGCCGCTCTCGCCGTGTGCGTCGTCGTGCCAGTCCACGAGTGCGGTGCCGATGGCCTCTTTCGAACGTTGGGCGGCGACGCCGGCGTATCCTTGGCGACGTTGTCGCGGTTGTTGGAGCGCTCCTGCCTGCCGCCCGGCGGGACAGAGCGTTGGTCACGCGCGCGCTCCTGGTTGCCGAGTGCCGCGGCGTGGGAAGAGGAATTGGTCGTGGACTCTCAGTGGCTTGCGGCATGGGAGGAGGATCGACAGGGTGTGTTAGAGCAGGGCGTGACGAGCTCGCACGGCATGTGCGCGCGCCACGACCCGCTCGCGTCGCCACCGCTTGCGAGCGTCCACTCCGGGCCGTGGGTGGTTCTGCCGATTGACCTAGAAAGGAATGTGGCGGACGCGATGTTGCCATTTCGGTGGCTCGCCAGTGTGATTCAAGGGCCATGAGTCAGGTATCCACGGGCATGTGGAGAGTTCCAGACAACCACGAACCGAGCGCGCACTTCATCCGGCGTGGTCAGCAGGCTACCACATGTCGCGAACGCTGTGGCAGTATCCAGCACCTACGGAAAGCGAGAGCTACACAATTGGTCACCACAGCGGAGTGGACCACCAGGATGTTATCCAGCACCACGGCATCACGCGCCACCACGATGTCCATTAAGGCGGAGTTGAGAGCCTCGTCGATATCCAGCGTTCGGGAGTTGAGTGCTGCCACGGTGTCCCTCCCGACGTGGAGCACCACGTCGATTTACAGCCTGACAGCCTCGAGCGGTACCACGTTGTCCGGCACGACTGAGTCGAGCATTACGTTGGTATGCCCCACTGAGGAGTCGAATGCCGCCACGGTGTCCACCAAGACGGAGTCAGATTCGGGGCACCCGTTTGGGCTTCCGCTTGGAGCAGTCTTGGGGGACTTTGGCCGTCTTGGAAGCCTCTTTCTTGGGCCGTCTTCGGACCCCCTTGGGCCGTTTGGGGGCCCTCTTGGAGGCCTTTTGGGCCTTCTTGGGGCGATCCCGGGGGCCTCTTGGGCCGTCTTGGAGCGTCGGGGAGCCGACACGGCGAGAACGCCCAAATCATTCAACAACCTCTCGGGACCCTCCTGGGAGGTCTCTTGGGGCGTCTTGAGGGCATCTTCTGCCGTTTTGAGGCCATCTTGGGCGTGATTGGCTGATTGTTCGGCGATTCGGGGTCCTCTCGGATCGACTGGGCGGCCTCTTGGGGCGCCCTTGGCCCGTCTTGGGGCCCTCTTGGCCCGACAAGTTCACGCGGGAAGCCGCGACGGGGTTCAGGGGTACGGGGATGGCCCAAAGAATTATGAATATGAGGTCGGGGCCCCTGAAAGAATCTCCAGGATTGGGGAGTGAGGCTCCAGGGGACCTGGGGACCCTGGGGGCACTCCAACTCGTGCCTCGAGGGCACGATGGCGGATATGTGTGTGAGGAGGAGGACGACGACGATGAACGGTATCTGGTCTTTTCCTGGCATCTGTTGACACGATTGCAGGAGCACGTGCTCCCTTTGATATGAGACATCACCAGTAATCCGCGCGCCTGCTCGGATGGTACTGGCGGTAGATAAGTTATGGGCGCGGGCGAGTTCGTACGAGTGTTTAACGTTTTACCATGTGGTTTGGGATGCAGTCAACCCGCATAATAAGGATGGACAGCCTTTCCAAGGGTACCCTTGCATCCTTGCCCCCTCGGTCCATCCTTCGCACCGTTCGTTGGCCGCGCCCCGCTCGAAGAGCTTCGAATTGGGCGTCCAAGGCCCTTGCATCCTTTATCGCGCATCCTTGCTGCACGGGTTGACTGTACATGCATACGCTTTTGTCCAGTACCACCCAGGCGCTGGCAAGTGGCGTTCGGCCTACTGCAATAATATCCCGATGGCGACATCTCGGACTGCCGTGAGCCTGGTGAGTGTCCGCCTCCTTCCCTCCCAGGAGGGGGGGGATGAGGAGGATGAGGAGGAGGAGGAGGAGGTGGTGGAGGAGGAGGTGGGGGAGGAGGAGGAATAGGAGGATGATGATGATGATGATGATGATGATGATGATGATGATGATGATGATGATGATGATGATGATGATGATGATGATGATGAAGATGATGATGATGATGATGATGCTGATGATGATGATGATGATGATGAGGAGGAGGAGGAGGAGGAGGAAAAAGAGGCGGAGGAGGATGAGGATCTCTGCGAGACATGCCGCAACATGCATGGCGTGATGCGCCAGCTATCCGTGCGCTGCCTAGACGCCGTCCGTGTCGAAGTCGAGTGGGGTATCCGAAGTTGCTTTGCGGATACTCTTGGCGCCTGCGTTGCTTCGAGTGGGAGGAGGATGGCGGTGATGGCCACGAGGAGGAGCATGCGCAGTGATGGGTGGGAGGGTTACGGAGAGTGGGAGTTTGAGGCAGGATACGCTGGAGAAAGAACAGGGGCTGGAGAAGCAGGACGATATTCCCCGAGAGCCTCAGAGGGTAAGGATCGGCGAGATCTCCGAACTCTTCGACGCCCTGTCCGTGCTGGAGAGCTCCGAGCCCGCACTCGGGGGCAAGGGTGGCGCGCGCCAGCATCGCCAGTCGCACTGCGAGTACAAGATCTTCGTCCTGCACAGGACCTGGGCGGGGCGGGCCTTCCTGGACTGCCCGACGGCGGACGCAGGATGAGGCCGCGGAGATGTGGAGGGAGGCAGGCAGGGAGCGAGGAGGAGCACGACGACGACGACGACTGCTGCGGGGAAGACGGGGTGGAGAGCCCCAGACCAGCGGCCGCATCGCTGCTGGCCTCCAGTGCGCTGCACGACGACCTTGCCGAAGCCCACGCGCAGCATGGCCGAGACGAGGCGCGCGAGGGCAGAAACTCGTGCCGCACGCGCGGCCCGGCAGCGGAGGCGTGGCTGCCTCGCCCCGCTGGCGCCGGCATGCTGCGCCAGGGCCAGGCCGTGCGCTCACGGCGGGGCTTGAGGAGGTCACGCCAGCGGCAGCGGATGGATCCAGCGCCCGCGGTTCAGGCCGCGGCTCCTCCTCCTCCTTCTCCTCCTCCTCCTCCTCCTCCTCCTCCTCCCCGTAGCCATTTGGGCTGAAGCGGAGGCGCTCTCGCGAGCGCCGAGGCCGCGCCGCCCCTGGGGTGCGCGCGGAGGCCGGGCGAGGATGGGGCGAGGCGGGCGCGGAGGCCTGACAGTCAGGCATGGCGCAGCGCTCGTCGCCAGGGCGACCGTAGGCGAGGCCGCCGAGCTCCTGCTGCTCGTGCAAGCGGCGCGCCCTGCGGCGGAGGCGGAGCCTGCAGCAACCACTCCGCTGGCCGAGGAGGCTGCTCCAGCCCGCCCCGCGCTCGGCGAACGCGCGCAGGCGCTGATGGGGGCAACGGCCGAGCAGGTGGCCATGCTGGGCGCCCCAACGCTGGCCAAGGGGATCGCCGAGCTCCGCGCCAGAGGGCGGCGCATGCCGTCGGCCCTCGAGCGAAGCTGCCGCGCGCTGGATGCGGCTGGCGGCTTCCTGCGTCATCCCTCCGAGGGGGAGGCTGTTGTCGCCGCGCTAGGGGTCTGGTTGGCGGGCGATGGCGCCGAACCTGGTGGAAGGCAGCAGGCGGAGAACCACGGCAGCGGTGACCAAGAGAGCGGCGCCGCCAACGCCCAGAAGGAGAACTTGGAGGAGCTGCGCGAGGAAAAGGAGCAGCTGAAGCAGCAGCTGGCGCGGCTCGAGCAGGTGGTGAACGAGGTGCGCGAGCTCGCCTACGGGGGCGCCGAGCAGTGCATGCACTGCGTGGAGCTCGGCGCGGCCAATGGCGAGCAGCACGTCGTGAACCCCTTGCTCGCGCAGGTCCCTGCCTTCCCCGTCCTGGTCTCGGGCCCCGACGTCCTGCCGAAGGAACACGAGTTCTACGACGAGGAGGGCAAGCTGGGCACCGCTGAGCGGCAGCTGAACGACGGCGGCGCCCAGGGGACCCTGGGGCAGCAGCAAAACTCCGAGGAGGGCCAGGGCTGTGTGTGAATCCCCCTACTTTCCTCCTATCTTGCTCATATCCATCGCCCCTTTCGGCTCGGATGCAGGTACTCGTACACAGAGGGTGAAGAGGACAACTTCCATCATCCTCATCACGTCTACCTACGGACACTTTGGGGGTGGGTTCGGTCCTTCGGTCCCCCTCCCCCTCGCACAGGTTATCAGCCTTCTCTGTTCAAAACGCAATCGCTCCAACTTCCGCGCTTCCTGAGCCCCCCACTCAGTCGCGATGGAGGGCGGTGCGCCTCTCGGCCCCGCGCCTCTTCGCGACGGCGTGGCGGACCCCGTGGCGCGCAACTTGGAGCAGGAGATTGAAGTTTTGATGGACGTGCATGGCATCCCGCGAGCTGATCGTGTGGCCATTTCTCCAGGTACTGAGGGTCTTGACGCTGGACAAGGACACGCTCCTGGTACTCCTCAGTTCCAGGCCCCTTCCTCGTCGTCAGTCGTTCATCCCGTCGCGTCGCCCGTCGTGTCGGATGCAGCGGGAGACCGCAGCTCGGGTGCTGCGCAGCATCTCTTTCAGAGCGCTGAGGTCCTCGTGCCACGGAATGATCCGCCCAGAAATGCTGTCAGAGCGAGACACCCTGTGGCTCCTGGAGTTCCTCAGCTCCAGACTCCTCAACCTCCTCAAAATCTGACCCCGACTTTTCGGGCCCCTGCTGGGGGGGCCCACTCGGAGGCTCTTTCGCCTCCACAGGGAAGTCCCGTGCAGAGAGGCTCTGGAGGATCTCGCCGCTGGGGCGGGAGTCACGCGAACGCCGGCGCGCCAGGACGGAACCCAGTCACCCGTGCCGTGACGCCAGTCCGAGAGCACGTCCGCGCCCTCGAGTTTCGTGCTCAGACCCGCGACGGCGCAGCCTTCGCCGGTCGTCAAGTCATTGTTTCTCGTTCTCGCGCAGCTTCGCCTCGTGACAGACGTGGCCCCGAACAGTTCCAGATTGCAGCCCAGGATTTGCGCAGCCGCAGTCCCTCCCAGAGGGCACGAAGACGCGCTGTCAGCTCACCTGTGGCTGCGCCTGCCGCCGTCCCCCTAACAGATATGGCTGAGCTAAGAGACCAGGTACAGACGTATGTGGAGCATCAGACTGCTCTCGTGCACCGGGCAACCGCCACTGAGACTGCGATCTTGCGATCGGATCTCGCTAAAGGTTTGCAGGAAGTCGACGCTAGGTTGTACGAGGATCGTCACGTCATGTGTCAACTCGTTTCGAAGGTCGATGCTGTTGCCGCTCAGCGTGGCCAAGACCGCTCCGAGCTTGCCGCTGTGCACTCCGAGTTCTCTCATTTGGAAGCACGTTTTATCCATATGCGTGACCACAATGATACTCGCGCCAAGTTTCTCCACGATGAACTCCAAGCAGTTGCTACCGCCAGCGCCGGCGCGGCTCCCTCAGCTCTCCAGGGCCAGATTATTGAGCTTCGTGACGCCACGATGTCTGCTACATCTGATCTTCGTGCTGAGACCCAACAAGTCCAACAAGATCTCTACGGCAAACTCTGTCAAGCCGAAAATGCTGTCAACCAGCGTCTCTCTGATTCCCAAGTTGATTCGATCCCAAAGCTCACCGCCAGAGTCCTGACTCTCGAAGAGGCCGTGACTGAGCTGCGCGTTGTAAGGGCCCAGACTGGCCAGCTGGTGCCCCCTTCTTCGGTTGACGACCCCGCCGTACTGGCAGCCGTACAACGGACCGTGCGTGCGGAGGCGGACCACGTGCAAAGGCAGTTACACGAGCTTCGCTCTGAGAGGGATGCTGGAAAGGCACGGGTATCTGAAGTGCAGACCCGCCTGGCGGATACGCAGCAGGAGCTGTCGCGCGTAAAGGCCGACATGGATCAGCTACGTTCTCTTCTTACAGACCTTTCCCAGTCTACTCAACGACAGTATTCCGTGCTTACAGACAAGACCCGCGAGGTCCAGAGGAATGTTGATGGTTTCTCAGGCTGCATCGAACAGTTGCAACGTGACAACATCATTCTCGAAGACCAATTCAAGGCCCACGTAGCTGACGCTACACAGCACACACCTGTACCACCACAAGCCCCGACCTCCAGACGCACTTCTCCCGGCGCCCCTGCCTCGAACGCGGGGGGTGTGCAGGGGGAAACCCCAGCCGCTGGCTACCAGCCACAGGCCCGACGTGTGTCACCGTCAGCTGCCAGCAGGACCGCGGCCCCGGCCGCTTCCGCAGCACCTGCACAGGAGGCAAACTTCGACGCTGCAAGCTTTCGCACGCACTCACCAGTGCCCAACGTCCTTGGTGCTACTGTCATGCAGTCTCAATACACCATCGGAGGGAGCCCTGTTGCTACCATCACACCGGTGAAGGAGAGCGAGCGTGTGCGTGTTCCAGGTCTTCCCAGAATCGGACATGTTCTTGAGTGGCAGCACGCAGTCCGCAAGGCCTTCTGCAGTGCCTCTGGGCGTCCAGATGCTGCATACAAGTTCTTCTGTGTTGCAGAACAGCCCGGTGTGACACTGGAAGATCTACAGGACAGCGGTGATTTCGCAAGTTTGGATCTGAAGTTTGCGGAAGCTTTACAAGCGATTCTCAGCAGCGAATTGAAACTGGATATCAAATTGCTGGAGAACACAGAGCACAAGCACGGTCGCATGATAAAGGGACGTCAGATCTACTGGAAGATTTTGCGTTATTACGATGTGACCGACGCCGACGATACGATTCATGATTTCGAAAGGATCAACACTCTACGTATGCATGGAGATGACCTCAAAAGGTTCGTGACGGAGTGGGACCAACTGCTCCTGGAGCTCCGGGAACTTCCTCCGCCGAACATTATGGAGTCACTGTTTCGTACACAGATTGAGTTGCATCCTTGGATGAAGGACGACATGAACACGTACAACAAAGCTCCTAAAGGGGCACCAGAGCGCTGTTACACTTGGCTCCACCACCGAGTCACAGCTGTTCTTGAGCTACACCGAACGCGGCGCAACCAGTACCACCTGAGGACAGGCAACAGGGACACCGCAGCCATCGTCTCTCCGAAGACTGGCTTCTGCGTGCCCTTCAGCAAGGGCAAATGCCCCAAGGGAAACGCGTGCAAGCTCCTGCACATGGTGGACTCCCGCAGCCGCCCTGACACTGGCGCCCCTCACAGCGAGAACTCTCGCCAGCCCCAGCGTTCTGCCCAGCCACCCGGCTCGCAGCAGCCTCACGGCGGCGCCGCGCGTTTTTGCCACAGATTCGCCAAAACTGGTGCCTGTTCGTACGGCGACCGCTGCCGCTACCCCCACGTGCCCGCCTGCAGCTACTTCCAGGCAGGCCACTGCGCCAAGGGCGACGCGTGCACCTACGCACACCTGGCAGCCAACGCTGCAACTCCGCCACAGAGCACCAGCCGCCCGCGGAGTCAGGACAGCCGTGGCCGCCCCCCCTCGCGTGGACCGAAATCTGGTCGAAACCACCGTTCGTCCAGGAGTCCGGGGGGATCTCAGCAGCCTCCTCGTGACGCCTCCCAATCTCAGACCTGGGATAACTGGCGATCTCGGCCCGCTCCTAACCAAGACGGGTATGAGGGTCAGGAAGGCACGCTCCACGACGACTCCCAGCGCGGACGTCGACCTTCTCGCGACTCAGACCGTACCAGC